CTTATGTCTACTTCTTTCTATATAGACACAGTAACAGGCTAATCTCTTTCTTTTCCCCACAGTTTATTCCTAGGTATTTTATTTTATTTGTAGCTAAATGGGATTAGTTTCTTGATTTCTTTTTCAGATTATTTGCTGTTAGCACATAGAAATGCTACTGATTCTTCATGTTGCTGTTGTATCCTGCAACTTTACTGAATTTGTTCTTCAGTTCTATTAGGTTTTTGGTGGAGTCTTTAGGTTTTTCCAAATATCAGACCACATGATGTACAAACAAGGATAATCTGACTTCTTCTTTTCCAATTTTGATGCCCTTTATTTCCTTCTCCTGTCTGATTGCTCTAGCTAGGACTTGCAGTATTGTGTTGAATAACTGTAGTGAAAGTAGTCATCCTTGTCTTGTTCCAGATCTTAGAGAAAAGGCTCTCAGTTTTCCCCCATTCAGTATGTTACTAGCTGTGAGTTTGTCATATATGACTTTTATTATATTGAGGTCTTTTCATTGTATACTCAGTGTTTTTAGAGTTTTTATCATGAAGGGATGTTAAATTTATCATGCTTTTTCAGTATCAGTTGAAATGGTGATATGGCTTTTGTCCTTTATTCTGTTGATATGATGTACTACATTGATTAATTTGTAGATGCATACTTGGAATACATTCCACTTGATCATGAAGAATGATCTTGTTAATATATTGTTGAATTTGGTTTGCTAGTATTTCATTGACAATATTTGCCTCAGTGTTCACCAGGGATATAGGCCTGTAGTTTTCTTTTTTTGATGTGTCTTTGCCTGGTTTTGGTATCAGGATATTCCTGGCTTTGTAAAATGAGTTTGGAAGTATTCCTTCCTCCTCTATTTTTCAGAACAATTTGAATAGGACTGGTATTTCTTGTTCTTTAAATGTTTAATTGTGGTAAAGTATACATTACATAAATTTTACTGTTTTAACCACTTTTAGGTGTATACTCGGTGGCATTAGTTACATTCACATTTTTGTGCAACCCAAAACTCTGTACCCATTAATCGGTAACTCCGCATTCCTCGCTACCTCTGGCCCCTGGTAACCACCATTCTACTTTTTGTTTCTATGAATTTGACACTCTAGGTACCTCATTTAAGTAGAATCATGTAATGTTTGTCTTTTTGTTTCTGGCTTATTTCACTTATAATATTTTGAGGTTCATCCAGGTTGTAGTATGGGTCAGAATTTCATTCCTTTTAATGATGAATAATACTCATGATACGTATGTACCACGTCTTGGTTATCCATTCCTCAGACAGTGGACACTTGGATTATTTCTGCCTTTTGGATATTGGCAAATATTTCATTTCTCTTGGGTATATATTTATTTATTTTGGGTATTTCTTTTGGGTATATATCCAGAAATAGAATTGTTGGATCATACAGTATTTCATGTTTTAATATTGAGAGGCATCACCGTAGTGTTTTCCATTGCAGGTGTGCCATTTTATATTTCCAAAAGCAGCATACAGGGGCTTCAGTTTCTCTACCTTCTTGCCAAACTTGCTATTTGTGTGTGTGTGTGTGATAATAGCCATCCTGATTGGTTTGAGGTAGTATCTCATTATCTCATTGTGGTTTTGATTTGCATTTTCCTAGTGACTACTGATATTGAGCATCTTTTCGTGTGTTTATCGATCATTTGTATATTTGCTTTGAAGAATTGGCCATTCAAGTATTTTGCCCATTTTTCTCCCCCACATAGCTTCTCATGGCTACTTTGCCCATTTTTGAGTGGGTTGACTGTTTTGTTGTTTTTATCAGACTTTTTAATATTCTGTATATTCTGAAAACTAATTTCTTGGTTTTTTTTTTTTTTTT